CCCCCCGCGGGGCTCCCGCGTATTCCCTTTCCGATTCGGGAGCCACACGTACATCCAGAAGCTACGGGGTGTCTCTCGAGCGAAGAATTCATCCGGGATCTTTGTACGATGCTGTTGGACAAATTCGTAGAGTCGAGGAGGAGTGACCATTTGAGATTGGTATCACGTATCAGTCATTTATCTGGATTATACTCGGCATTAATTGTCCTTTAGTTCGAGGCACTCTGTGGGATCACAGCGAAGCTAAAGACATTCTTGGAATTTCTTCCCGTCTTAAATTCCCATATGCGATCTCCTTGTTAGGGATGCTGCAATTCCGTTCAGTGCCTCCTCTAGGCGATATGGACCAGGCATTGCCACTCGCGAGTTATGATATCGATTTTGCCTTTGGCTGGCTATGCGGTCAACTTGAAAGCTAGTACGGATACACGGTGTCCCGAATATTACTGAAAGAATACTGAAACGGGGACTCGTTTGTACCATTGAGAAAGTCGTATCTCGATCGTCTTTTAAATTTATAGGATTTTCATTCGATCGATAAATCAAGCGATGGAAGGCGAGAAAACATTAAACCTGCTGGTCTCGATCGTTTTGGGACTCCGTGTCTGTAATCGTCTCTGCACTATACATATGGGTAACCAACTAGTGACAGAGAGATCCTGGCTTAGGGATCTATAGGATTTAACCACTACATTAATAAGGGTACCTTTTATATCCAGCCCATCTTTTCGCAACTACCCAAATGCAATGGCGAGCAGTTAAACATTGTAACGAGTTGAATGGTAGGTCGAAGGACCCAGTGGATGTTCTCAGGTCGCCTGGCCGCATAGCCGCGTATCCAGGGATTCCGATTTAATCCGGATTACTTCGTAAGGGTCACAATATCCTCCCCTATCTTGGCTGTCGCCCTCTCCCTCTCTCTCTCTCTCCCTCTCTCCCTCTCTCTCTCTCTCTCTCTCTCTCTCTCTCTCTCTCTGCCCCCAGGACACGCACGCGAGTTTTGCCAGTCCGAAGGCAAATGACGACAGGATCCAAACCCTAACGTAACTCACGTATCAAAGGACTTGTGTCAGTCCTTCTGGTATTCTCTGTCTCTCTGTCTCTCTGTCTCTCTGTCTCTCTCTCTCTCTCTCTCTCTCTCTCTCTCTCTCTCTCTCTCTCTCTCTCTGCCCCCAGGACACGCACGCGAGTTTTGCCAGTCCGAAGGCAAATGACGACAGGATCCAAACCCTAACGTAACTCACGTATCAAAGGACTTGTGTCAGTCCTTCTGGTATTGTGGATGCTCCTGCATGTACATTTACCGGTTTAGGACTTATAAATCTGCGTGTAATATATTGGTCGGGCGGGCCCCTTCAGATTTCGAAGGGTTGCTAAGGGCGCAGGAGTACGTACTGGATAGACCAGATACCCAGGAGAATAAGGGACAGGGAGACAAATGAGAGGAGAGTAAGGATCCTTGTGATCTTGTCGCAAGGATCGGAGCCAGGAGATTTAAAAAGGATTTTATGGATTTACGGATTCTCATCCGCGACTCGCAAACCGTCACGAAGAACAAATATGTACAGAGTTTCTTAAGAGATGAAAATCCTTTTGCCCCGTTTTCACAGTTTTTTTTTTTCGGACAAAGTTACAAAGGTTCGGGTTCCATTTGCTCAGCTGTTAGTAAAAGACGAGAGAGAGAGAGAGAGAAAGCAGAGAGTCATTTATTTTGGAAAAATATCAGTTCCACCGGGATATCCAGGTATTGCAGGAAAATACAGCAGTCACGGAAAGTCAGGCGTACACCGTACACATGTTATACAATCGGTCAGGTATAAAGTTGTGGACGCAGCCTTACAAATAATCCTATAGAATTCACAGCTAAACGACATAAAGTCCCTTTCACAACCGCGTCAGTATTTCTGTCCGGTTAAAAGTGACTTAATTCGTTAGATAAAGGTCGTTCTCAACACATGTCCCGTGAATCGCCTCGTGTGGGTATACCTTTCCTTTTTTTTTTCATGATGAAGATAATCCTCAAGATGATTCCCAATGTGCTGTATAGGAGATGATTTAGCAGACATCTTACCTGTACCGGTGGCTGTTTTACTGAGGTCAAAACCCTCCTGTTTGGGACTGAATGCGATCTCCTGCTTGGAATGCTGATTGTGCGCGGAGATCGGTGCCTGCGGAGCACTTAGGGGTGTCTGGGACTGATGGGGATGAACGACCGAGGGTTGGGCAGTGTTTTGCGATTGAGACTGATGGGACTGATGGGACTGTGGACTCTTTGGCGGGGAGGAAACGCTGCTGGGCCTTGGAGGTGGCGACGCCTTGTATGTTAACGCCAAAGCTTGACTCTGAAACAAACAACCAAACAACATTGAAAACATTGCCGAGTCCCTTGTATACACGTTAGGTAATCGCGTTTGATTCTGACTGATCAATCGCACCGCGTCAGTGCGAGCCCCAAGCGACAGCAGCTTTGAAACCTCGACAAGACTCATTAAGGATCGGCACTGGAGCAACCTCAGGCGTAACTGGAGCTTCGTTCTTTCGGGAAAAATCGCCATGTGCATTATTACGCAGATCCCAGAAAAGAAAAACGATAGCAAAGCGAACGGGTGAAATCTGTCTCGCGATTTGGAGAATATCTTATCGCGAAACGAGGTGTCAAAAATGGCCTCGCGCGGATATCGCTTGACTCACACGAAAATAATAACCTGAGGGCGAACTGATTGCGTCATCCAGATCTTCCGCGTGGATCGACGCATTTCGGCGACACTCCGTAATTCCTCGACCGTTTAATGTTTGCAGAAATTATGCTGTTTTTTGTTATTCGTGAGAAATTTTTCAAAATTCTTAATCCTAATTAACGAGACTTTCGTCTTATGTGTGAAAACAAAATTAAGTGGAGCTACACCTGTGCGTGATGATCGGTTGCCATGGGGATGGATAGAAGAAGAATCTTCGTTAACGAGAAATTATTAAGACGGAAATACTCGTGGTCATCCAAACGAGCCAACTGGATGATCTAATGCGGCTAGTAGATGTCGGCAGCGACGTAGACGTCGTCCTCGCCGGCGTCGTCGTCGGCGACGGACAAACCGATGAAATCTGAGCACGTGCTCAATTCAGAGGCCGGCCTGCTAAGTCATAAGTGCGGACTTAGATTTATGTATGAGTGAACTTAACACTAACGGCTAAGCCGTCCTCGGTGTCAACGAGGGTCAACTGGGCCCAGAATGCGACAATCCACGTCTCCCGAAGTGCGAATGCACCGTACGAGAGATTTCGAGATTGAAACTGGAGCGGCCTGGAGGATGAATCTTATCGGGAATTAGGCTATTGCGTAAAATTCATCTACACCTGAAATCCCTTATCATTCGTTGCACCACTGTGCTTTTTTGGTGTTTTATGATTTTACGTCAAACAACTCCCTCTAGGATGTTCTTAAGAAACGGGACCAAGTGTAAAATCTGATGTTTCAAGCTCCGCGTAAAGGATCATAAATAATTCGTGTGTGTTTGGTAAATAGTCAGGAAGCTGTCGACATTGGAATTATAGGAAGGCACGCTATCCAGCATATACCGGGTGATCCGGAGGTTCTAACGATGAGACCGAGTGTCTTCGACGTGGCTGGCCATTTTTTCACTTGCCAGGACTGTACCGGAGTACGAGCTACTGTTTCGGGAGCTACTCGAAGGTATGCACTCGCAAAAAACACGTCAGACCGCTGAAGACCCACTGTTGCTTGCGAGTACGAGGAAGAAGGATGGAGCAAGAGGGCAGAGAGAGAGAGAGAGAGAGAGAGAGAGAGAGAGAGAGAGAGAGAGAGATTTAAAAATGAAAAGCAAAGAGTCAGAAGAGTCTGGTAGTAGGTATATACGGGATATACTATATGGTCCAGGGAAGGAAGGAAGGCAGAAGCAGAGAAGCAGCGAAAGACTCGAGTAGGTTAGAAAAGGCTGATCAGAAGCCATTTTAGCAGAGTGCGAGAAGCACGAGAGAAGCCTCGACCTAGAGGACGTAAGAAGGGGCAACAGGTGGATGGGGTTAGCGGCTTATCCAGCTAACGGCCCAACTGATACCACCACCACCACCACCACCACCACCATCATTCCTATCAGCGTCACCACGTGAATTCCGAAGGTTCCCACGAATGAGGAAAAACCAAAGAAAATATATTAATTTGTTATCTCGACGTGTGACAGGTTACATTAGACTTAGAAAATTAACGCGATGGCAATGATAGCCTGATTGAGACTTCTTTATATCTTAGGCACAGTTATCATGCGCATGTCTCTGTACCGATTCTCAACGATCATCAAAACGATCGGGCGACGATCGATCAATTGATTGAAAAAAATGTATGCCGTGACCGTAACTGACTTACGTAACACAGCGAGTCCTCGATCGATTTTAATATTTGGCAATTGAACGAAGGTCCTTTTCCTCGTATTGCATGTCAAACGCCGCCGTCGCTGTCGAGATTCAATCTTGTCGTCTTTCCTATATGTATATACACGTACAATCAATATATTAGAGCCCCAAAAAATAAGAGTCAATCATCGAGGACTTCTCTCGGGATTGAGATAACTTGCTGGAAGATTTTTTAGTCTATCGATGTATTTTTTTTTTTCGTAAAATTGCTCATCGTTGAATTTCTAATGAGATTATTCAATTGAAGGAATTTGGAAAGAGCTATGCCCAAGTTCTCAAGGCAATTGACAAACAGTCGGCAGGCCGTTGCCGTAGGATGATCCTGGGATCAGAATCGAGTTAGAGCCGACAGGAGGATCCCTTTGCCCATATCTCGTTTCCTTCAAAGTCTTCTGTCTCCGCAGGACTGTCCCGCGTAACGAGACTCCTTCTTTAGAAAGACACGTTAAATTTTTCAAGGCGAAACGAAGCGAAACGAAATGGAATCCGCGAAGCCGAATACGTTTGATGTATCGGCTTCGGGCCGGATAGATGGATTACAATCATTCCAGCCACTGGGGTGGTCAAATACCGTGACCATGCGTGCCTGTGCTCCACGTATCACATATGCGTAACAGCCAGCTGCGTGTGCGTAAACGCGTACCAGCTCCGCACTAAGTCCCGGCTGGAATAGGGACATATCTCGAGTTCAGAATATTTGGAAATACAATGTTACCCACGTATCTCCACTTTTATCGCAACGCCTTACACGTGTGTAGATTTTTCTTTTTTCTTAATCGACTATAGATATTTTGCCAATTGGATTTTTGATACGCGTCAAAATACGCAATTTTCGAGCAAATCGAGGGTCGGAGGTACTTTAGGAAAAATTAGATTTTTTTTTTTTTTTAATTTCTCTCGAGAATTCACACGGACGGAAACTGGCTTCTTGGCAAATTAGCGGGCTATTTAGGATCAGCATTTGGTTTCTCCACGGTCCAGGTAGAGGGTCGAATTTCGCGATCGAAGATCGGGCAACCTAACTGGATAACCAGAACTGGAGATGCGGTTTTATTGCACCGAACAAGCGTGCTCGTGGATGTGGTTGTGGCACAGGAAGAAGGCAGGGGCACATCCGTATCGTGGTCAGAACCCGTGACCCCCTATATATATGTTTATATATATATATGTAGCGTGGCTTTACCCAGGATTATCCCCACCTCGGTTGGCTTTTCTAACGTGAAATTTCAAAGTTACATTCTCCGCTATCATTGCAGATTAGAAACGGACCAACCAGTCCCGTTAATAGCGACGGGAGAATTTGAAAGAATTTTTTTTTTTTTTCAAGTGTTGATAACTTTGACTCAGTTTTTTTGAAAGTTTAAATTTGTCATGTAACGATTTTTTCTTTAACGTTTCTCAGATACTGCAACTCGAAGAATATCAATGAGACGAAAGTTCAGGCTTTTCGACGATAAGGGTGTTTGACAAATTAACCCTGACTGAGAATGGTGCGGTCTGGATATTCGAGGGGTGAGCAATTGGCTGTATAATGCTAAAGGGGTTGCTTCCCGAGAGTCTCATACCCCATGTATACAGTCAGTTATTACATTCATAGTGGTGACGTTAATGAACCTGCACTTACGCCAAGTGCCGAGTGCACTCTTTTTTTTTTTTTTTTTCTTTTTTAATAGCGCAATACGACCAAGTATTGCAAGTAATTGTGTGTATGTGGTAAATTGATGTGACACGTGACTATTCGTTGTTGTAATTTATGACGCATCGAATACTCACCTGTACTTGTTCGGTTTTTGTATTAGCAGCCACCCAAGCCTCGGCGAAAGTCTCCATCGCGCTCTGAAAATCCATTCCCTCGCGCCGTTTTAATCTTCCCTCGATTCGAAAGCCCTCGCCATTTGTATCATTTCTACCACTTCACCAGTCGTTCACAAGATATTCTTCCTCCTCAGTCCGCAGTCAATGATATCAGCAGACGTTGCCACATTCGTAATTACTATAGATTTACTTCCGTCAGTAGAATCGGCCGAGTTACGATCTTCGCAGCCAAGTAGAAGCAGTTCAGATGCGAATCCGAATCCTCGCGACACCTTCCAGCCAATTTGACAAGTTTCAGGGAATCATCGAAAATTCACTGAACATTCGAATCGACGTCGATACAATTTTCAAGGTATCACCGCGATCCCGTATAGTCGTTTGGTCCAGCGATGCTCGAGTCGTGAGTCAAGATAAAATACTGTCGAGTGTAGAACGAGCGAGTGACGAAGCCAGAGGTAAATTTTGATATATAACAAAAATTCCTTATCGCCTCGACGATAAGAAAAAAAGAAAAAAAAAAAAACGAAACTCGTTTCGAAAATTTCCAAGATTCTTGCACAGGTCCAGAAATTCGTCGAAACTCACCGAACGGCGATTGGTTCGCGTGCCGAGGGAGGCTGCGGGATCTACCGAAACACTGTATCTCGCGTGTCTCTCGTAATTTCCAAAGACGTCCGTATCTTGAACCGATTTGCTGCGTGAACGTCGGAGAATTGCGTGCCGATGCGTAGCCTCAGGACTTCCGAGCGATACGCAGCACAATGCGATCCCGTACGTTCGTATACGGCGGCGCTCGGGCCGCAACTGTGCGTGTTTGAACGTCGCGGCGCCCGAGCTGCCCCTCCGACGCCCGTCCCACTCGCCCAACAACCCCACCATCAGCGTCCTCGACGCGGCTCACCACCTCCCAGCGTCGAGAACCTCCTCGTCGTCAACCCCTAGAACTCAATCTGCTCTTCCCCAGCTCTCCTCCCGAGCTCCCCCCGAACGTCCCGCCGATGCTTTCTCCTTTCTCCTTTTATCTTCGTTTCTCCTTTGCTCTGGCTTCGGCCCTTACACTCCCCCTCTCTCTTTCTCTTTTGCTTCCCTATACTCTCCCCCCAACCCCCCCCCCCCCCCCTT